TTATCGGTTTCGATGGCACACGCGATATCGTTACACGGATATCGATATGTTCTTAGTGCGAGCGAGGCAGAGTGTCGTTGTCCCTTTCCCTCTCCCGCCCTCCTTTCCTCTCTTTCTTCCCGCATATATCCCGCTTTATTATCGGAGCTTTCTCTCTCTCTCTCTCTCTCTCTTTCTCTCTCTCTCTCTCTCTCATCCTCTATCTTTTGGGTGAGACTTGACTTACCTGGGGACACCTGCGGGGTGGATCCGGCGAGCACGACATCTTCGATCGTGAAAGCGAAACGCTCGGCCTCCGGCGTAGTCTTCGCTACCGCTGGAATTTCCTCTTCGAGAACTGCGAAGAAAAGCAGAAATTTACATGAAGATCTGTAGATGCAAGGGTGTCTAATAGCGTTCGATAAATGGACTTTCACAGTAACGCTCTCTCGACATCGATCATTAACACAAAACGTATTATTGGGTAATTAGTCTCTACGAAGAGCGGCACTAAACTAGATCGCAATAAATAAATCGGTAATCGAGCCTGATAAAATTAATAACACCATTAATCTTCGTTCCCATGCTTGCGAAAGCATTGTAACGGAAAAAGACATTGGCGAATCGGCGAGCGTATAGTTTTCTCGAGTACTGCAAATGCTAATGATAGGTATGAAACTTAATGAATCCGTGCGCAACCGGAATTCTCTTTGCGCCTGTAGCGATAACCGCGGCCCCGCGACTTCCTCTGAAGATCGGATTTACTTTGACCCGTAAAATTTACCCCAAAACTCAGTAAGGGCTCGAAACATCAGATGGGGGAAGCGGCGAAGATCGCGAAAGCGGATGAATTTTCAGCTGACGTGCTGCATTCTTAAAGATTTATTCTTAAAGAACTTCCCTCCATACCTATTAAGATTATCCTCGGACTTTCGAGTTATAACAGCGTGTTTTTCTCCAAATTATACAATCAAATATTCAATGATTCAATCTGTTATTATATCGCGATTAATGGATAAACACAAGGAAAATTCTTCACGAAGGTATTCCGAGTAGCAGCTTACTTCGCCTGACGCAGTTAACGTTTAAACGATAATGATAATATTATAACAGGATCTTCGAGGAGAGGATGGCAGATCAGGACGATTATTCGCAGCCAACGAGGCTCGGCGCGCAATTATTAATGCCGAGTAATCGATAAGCTCAAAGAGGTGCCTCCCCGTGCCACGCTTGTAATTATTGCCGGCAGAATGGCAAGAGGAAGAGGAAGAAGACGTGCGGAGAAGAGGCGGGGGTAACCCTCAAAGTACAATGCCACCCTCTAATCACGCATCGACTTATCGGCAAGGAGGAGACAGGCGTATCGTATGCAGCGCCCGTTTTACCCATACCGCCAGCCTGGAATGGCCCACCTAGAAGGACTCTTCCAGGCTGTCTAACATCCAACCTTTCACCGCAACCCATCCACCGGCGCGCCAAAGTACAGGAAGCACTTTCTTCCGCGTTTCTCGCCCGTTTGATGTTCGCCTCGAATCACACGCACACTTTGACACTTTCGACTATCGAAAAGTATTCGGAGAAAATATTACTCGCTTAATCAGTTAACTTTTACAACATTCTCGTGTTTTCAAATTACTTTTAGCCATCTAGCGTGTTCAATAACTATGTCTTTTTCAATCATTTTTATATAATTTTATCAATATTTTTGCTTACACAAAATTTCACACGACGATTGATTCTGAGCGCGTCTTTCTCGCTTGATGATTTGACAAGATAATAGATATCTACTGCACTCGAATAAATTCCTCGGCTACGGTTATACGGCCTCGCATCGAAACTACGCTAGTTCAAGGGACCGCGCATACTTTGCACCGTGCGCCCGGTTTACGTACTCGCGTGTGCGTGGGCATAAACTCAAACTTTCGAACTATTTATGCTTTATTGACGCCTAGCTGAGCATACTGACATACCGGCACGAAGAGCAAAGCAGAAATGCCTTCCTTTCGGAAAGTTGCAAATGTCGCGCAACGGATCGCGCAGCATGCCGGCTGACCTACTTTAACGACATGAATCTGTCATCTGTAGTTACTTGTTTGCGGTTAATTGCAACGTCACTCGTTGAGTAAAGGTTTTATCACTCAATAAAGTTTTCAATTAAATATGCTCGAACGGTTCTTGAATTTGGTTGAACATTAATTTTAATTAACAATAAGAAGGAACTGTAGTTGTATCAATTTTGCGCAATTTTGTCTCCAAGTTTGTCTCATTTGCGAGAATCATTCGGAATCGCAACTTCGGAGATAGATTCGGTGAAAAAATATGCGAGTATTTTTATTATTAATCTCTAAAGCGTATCAAAAGTCTAATGGCTGTAGGAGAAAGCGATTTTGCACGCCGAATTCCTGAACGCATCGCTAATAAAATGCAAGAGCAGTCGAGGCGGGGTGCGTAGCAAAATCCACAGCGCCGCGCAATCTGCAACTGTATAAATGGCTCACTGGCCTGCCGCCCTGCGTGTCTGCGTGTTCCGCGAGTGTTTCCGTGTGTTCTGCACGGCCGTGGCGAGAGTCATCGCGCCAGAATCGCGTATCGGGACCGTGGCCAAGCGAGTGGACGACGCGAGCGGTCCGAAGCGCGGCCGAGGCGCGCAGTAACGTAATGGACGTCATTAGCCCGTGTAGATTATAGGGCGGCGTGCAGTAACGATCACTTCTTATAGGGCACACCGTACAACGGCCATGAAGAAGGCCCACCGTGGTCAGACCCTTGTTCTTACAGGTCGCGTCGCGATCGATATCGGGCCGACGTCATTCTGTCAATCGGCTTCCGGTAATCGCGTGCTCTAGGAGACTCTCGGCTTCGCCTTCGACGAATTTTTTCACGCTCCTTTTTTACCCACGAAATATCGCATCATTAGATACAAATAAGATACGATAAATACGAGTTATACGATAATGATAAAGAATTAATAAAGCGATTTACTGTAATCGCCTAAAAATTCTCATTATTAGCATTTTGAATGACAGTAAAAATTTATGTGTGATTATCACGCCGCGTTAAAGGATATACAAAGGTTATCGTGATTAATTGATTAAAAATTATGGATTAATTGACCAATGTATGAATGTATTTCATAACACGACGCATATTCGCATCATGCGCGTCTGATATATCATTGCTACTTTGACAATTTCTCCAATAATATGTAATACATTTTTACAAGACATATTAATCAATTAGATTATTAATTAAAAAGATTACAATAACTCAATACTGTAATACCGGATGCCAAATAAAATAAATGTTCTGATCAAATAAATATTGTAAGATTTTAAAAGATTTTCTGAGATTACACATACTTGTTGAGAGAAGGATGTCACAAGGTGCTAATTGACATATGAATAAACCGGTTAGAAGATTAATTGCTTTATTATCTGTGCGTGTAAAAACCGCGTACGTTATTAATCCGTTTTAACCAACCACTGAGAAATTGAAACGGCCGAGCGTGAGACAAAAGCGTGAGACGCACGGCCACGTGCTGCTGTAACACCGCAACGTCAAAAGTGTTCACGCGAGTTATTTAAAAATCGTAAAAGCCGATAGAGACCGTTTTGTTCTCGCGGAAGGGCGGTCGAGGGAGAGAGATGGAAGAATCGTGCGGTCGAAGAAGATGACTCTCCCTCTCTCTCGTTCTCTTTCTCTTGCCCGAGTAGAGGGGTGCATTTAAAGTAATGGCGTTTCACTGGAGATGCTATAAATTTATCTGCCATAACTTGTTATACGCGGCTCTCTTCGCGTATTTATACATGCCTTCGTGGCCACACACAGATTCCGCCACGGCGAGTCGCTCTGTTCTGTTTCGCTCGGTCGAGTTATGGCGGCCTGACGTCGATGGAATAGGGCGTGGATGGGAGGGCAGGAAGATGGTGGGACTGAGACACTCTGCCTTTCGCCGAATCATTCGGATCAGCAACAATCGCTGCCTGCCAGTAGTGCGCGAAAACGGCCTTTGAAATGCATTCACGAGTGAAAAGTATATCATCATTTCTTGGTGGCTGATTGTCGGGCGAGTCGTCGAGTTGCGGCAGCACGCCGCTATTCATTAGCCTGATTATGGAAATTAGAAATCGGCAAAAATTACACGAGTTTGAAACCGAGAGTTTCTTGGAAATTATCCAAAGCGATCATGGACATGCGATGTTGGGAAATTAGTTACTTAAAGAGTTAAGTAAATCCTAGGCTTTCTGCCGTATACTCAACCTCAAACCGAGTTCGAAGTTTCACGTTGGTACGCGCCGGTGACTCTTGTATCTGTAGTCCTAGCTGCTGTAACATATACAAATGCCAGTGCATGCATAATTTATGACGTTGAGTAGGAACAAATAATAATATTCTTATCACATCCATTAGACAAATTACAATGTTTATGTTAACACAGGAACTCTCCATGTGTCCATATAACGCACCTGGGGCAGAAACCGAGATATATTCAGAGAAATTTTAAATATACGTTTTATTCAACTCGCATCGACGCGCGCCGTCGTTGGGAGAGAAACGTTTGTACCACAAGGATACAAGTACACATCAGTTCGTTCGAGGGTGGGTAGGTAATGATACGGGCGAAGGTATCAGAGCGAGAGAATCTGAAGTGGCTCGAAGAGTACTATAACATGCCCTTAAGGGACGTACGTACACCTTCAGATTCCCGCAAGAGTATAAGACGAGAAAACAGACGTTAACGTGTCAAACGCATTTAGCTTCCTCGCGAGATTCACTTGTTAACGCGAATATTTAGTCTCCGATTAAGAAACTTTTCTTAATCCGCTGACTGTAATAAGCAAGCTTTGTTTAGCTGTTTTCGCGAATACTCTTTTCTGAAACTAATGAGAAAAAAATATATCAAATTGCGACAATGGAAAATAAAATATTCGCGGACAATCTTTTAAGCTACTTTTCCTCATTAGACCACAGAAAAGTGAGCATCAGATCAACCGATGAATTCTCATAATTAGAAATAAAAATCAATTCTATATAGTATCGTTCTCGAGCACGAATCAACTCTTTCATGACGAAGATGCTCGCTGTCGATTTTCTTTGTCGTTAGCCCGCGGCCAATACTTGCCCGGCTGGTCGGCTAACTTTTAAACAAGACTTAACTAATTTTCAGATAGTTTAATATCTTACGTACCTCTCGCGCGCGCGACTGAGGCGGGTGAACGACTTAAGTCGGGACGGCTGGCTCGTCTCTGTCGTGGCGAGGAAGGAGAACGAAGGAAGAAGGAGGCTGGGGTGGGCAAGGGGGGCTGTAAGGGGTGGAGCGAGAGGGTGGATGAGCCTGGAAGCGAAGTGGGCTGAGTG